ACACAATTCATATGGGAAGAGACAGGTGCTTATGGCAGGCAGCATAGGGAAAAGCTGGGAGAAGGAAAGATGCCTGAGGCACAGCAGCTTCCCACTTCAGCACGCAAGCCGAGGCCCTGAGCAGGTCCCATGCGCTTGCCCTGGCCCAGCCAGTCCCCAGAGTCCTTTGGAGATTGGCAGCGGACGGAGCCTGCCGCAGATTCCTGTGCTGCAACAAGGTGGTCTGCCTGGCCCAGCCAGGAGAGCCTCTGGGTTGGCCCTTGAGTCAGAAGCAGCCGTGTCCTTTTCCATGTGACAAGATGACCTCGTTTTGCTTCTCAACCCGGCCATCAGCGCGAAGCCTTCTCCCATCCCTTCCTGGAAGCACTGACAAAATGGCTTGTACCTCTCATCATGGAAAATTGTGCGCGCTGCCTAGTAGAATTTCTGCCCCTCCCTCCCCCACCCAGTCATACCCAGCACCCTGGGTGAGTGGTGACCAAGAGGAAGACAGCAAAGGGCTGGCTGTCAGCTTACCAAGATCCACAGGCCCAGCTTCTACTCAAATCCATCTTGCTGGGCTCCAGTTCCCCAACCTACTTCCCACTGTACTGTATCTTTCAAGCAAGTGGACAGGAAAAAAGGCCCGGAAACTCCACCCAAGTGAACAAACAAACGAGCCACTTGAGATTCAGCACTTTGAGGAAGGGAAGAACCTTCCTGGTGACAGAAACTTGTAGCCATTGCCAGAGGGCAGCCGTATGGGACGGCCAGACCCCAGAGCACTGCCGGAGTCAGCTGGAGGCCTGCGCCCATTGGGAGAGTTCTTCTGTGGAGGAGGACAGGGAGCAGACAAGTCCTTCAGCTCCAGTTTGTCAGCGGCTTCCTCCTTGCTGCGTCGGGGAGACAGATTCAGCAGGCTCAGCACATCTCGCTTGGAGGCCTTCCCAGAAGAGCCCCGGAAGGTCCTCATGGGGCCCGAGGGGTGCTGGGGGGCATTTTGCCAGAACATCTTCAAGTTGTGAATGGCCTGTACCTTTCCATCAATGGCCGCCATCTTGAGCTTGTCTAGGGCAGGCGGGTTGGCAGGGCTAGAACGGGCCGAGCTGGCAGAGGAGTAGGAAAGGGCTGGGGAGGGAGTGCTGCCTGCTGGAGATCTATGCCCTGAACTCGGGGAGATGTTCTGAGGTGACCTGGATATGTGGGTGCTGTAGGGCGAGCTGGGGTACTTCATTCTGAAGATGGGCTGTTCTGCCACAGGCCCATAAGAGTCCAGGCTGGGGGCTGGCTGCCCTGCGCCTTCCTTGATGGATGTCTCAGAGGGAGAAGGGCTGTTGTTGCGAGAGCTGGATGTTGGCAGTGAGGAGCTCCTAATGAGGGGCTCAGGCCTCACTGGGGTAGGGGAAGGCTGACCTTTGATGCTGGAGCACAGCGGCCTGCTGAAAGCACTGGTCTCTGAGGACCGGAAGGAGGTGGCCCCGGAGGGTGAGGCAGCTCTGTCGTCCAGACTACTGCTTCTGCCCAGGTGGTTGGGGCAGCGATGGCTGCTGGCGTGCTGGAGGTGCTTCACGGCCAGGAGGTGGCTCTGGGTCTCCTCCAGGATCTTCTGGGCCAGCTCCTGGGGATCCAGTTTTGGGCCACTCCCCTCCTCTTGCGACCTGACGGTGCTGTCTGTTTCTGTACTGGAATGATCTGATTCACCCACGTCTGAACCCACCCGTCTCCCAACCTTCTGGAAAGGGGAGTTTGGGCTGGGAATCAGTGTTATTTTGACTGGGGAGTTTGGGGAACTGATGCTATGCTTGAAGCTGACAGAACCCTTGACTTCTCCGGTCTGGGCAGTCCGGGAGGGGCTGTGGTTGGTGGAAAATACCCCTTGGTTCTCCCGGTACCCTGCCAGAGGCTCACTGCTGACTATGGAGAATCCTTCGTACTCTTCTTCGTCTTTGCCGGGGCAAGCTCTGGTTTGTGCCGAGAAGTGGCTCTGTGGCAAGGAGCCCCTTTGTGGATAAATGGCCTTACATCTCTCAGAGTCTTGGTGCCCTCTGGAGCTGGCCCCCTCGGATGTGCCCTCGGGCTTGGAGGCAAAGCTAACGGAAGAGGCAATGGAGCTCAGGCTGTAGACTGAGATGGCATCAGAGGCCAGGCTGTCTGGACAGGTAGGAGAGAAGGGGGGATTGTGGCCACTGAGCGGCCCAGGATTGGAGATGGATTGGGCTGAGGCCAGTGATTCAAGTGAGGAGGAGCTGTCCAAGCTCAGCCGTTTGGGTAGCTCTGTGGAGTCTAAAGAAAGCAATGGGAGAGCAAATTTGTTCTAAAGCAGTACAATGGGGAAACGCAGGTTTGGGACCCTCCCTTCCACGAGAACTTTGCGCACCCTGGTGGAGAGTAGAGGGCCCATGAAAGTCAAGGTGTTCTTGGCTTTACACACACACTGCCCCCTCTCAGATGGCTCTTAACCAGAACCTCACCTTTTCTGAGATCTCCCCCTCCCTGTGGCAGTGGTAAGTGCATAATCTGCCCTTGGGCACCGAAGTATTGTTGCACAAGGCAGTGTTGGACTTCAGGGTTTAGACCGTGGTCTAGACAACAGATTTCCAGATACTGTCCGCAAAGCTTATCCCAGTACATTATTGTTGTACTGCTTGTGGAAACCAGAGGCCCAGCAACAGCCAAGGGACATGGCCAAACCGTTGAGAGGGTATCTGCCATCGTTCTGTCCTGGTGAATCTCCCCAGCCCAGTAACCTTGATGCCTTCAATGAGGCCAAGAGCTCTGAAAATAAGAAGCCGCTCTCCCCCAAGTCCTCCATGCCCCCTGCCTCCCCCAGAAGGACCCTCACCAAAAAGAGCCAACAGAGTCTGGAGTGCAAAATGCATGGTTCGGCGGCTGGCCTGTTTGCCCGTCTTCAGAATCACTTCCTCCTGCCCGACCTCGCACAGATCAAACCCTGCAAGCAGCACAGCACAGCACAGCCTGATGAGCCCCCGCACGTTTCTGAGATTTCTCCCCTCCACCCAGCCACATGGATGCTTCTGCCTGGCTCAAGCCCAGCGCAGGCTGTGGAGGGACCAGCCTTGCTCCCCACAGAATTCCCTCAGAGACATCTGCCTACCAAGAGCCGCCAGGAACTCGTGGCAGCCGGGCAGGCGCCAAAGTTGAACGCTAATGGAGACTTGAATTGGGGCCAGCGAGAAATCTTGCTCCTTCTCTCCAACCTGGAGCTGCACTAAAACCTGATGGAGCTGAGGAAGAGAAGGAGTCACCAGTCAGTTGGTCCCAGCCATTCTTCTGTCCCATCCTCCTCCCAAGGATTGGCCCAGGAAAATACCAGGAAAAAAGGGGAGCGCAAAAGCAAAATAGGGGTCACAGCAGACATCACAAGGAGGAAAGAAGGAAGCCCTGCCCCGCCCCACCCCCTGCAGCAGCAGCAGCCGCTGCTCAAGCAGGGAAGGGGGATAATCGCACCCTGCCCCCCTCTTCTTGTAGGACCAGGGAGTGGACTGAAGGGGGGATCCTGTACTCACCATTCCCACCATATTTTTAACAGCCTTTGGGGAGCAGAAAGGGCGGGCAGGCAGGCGGGAG